AACACCCTGCTTTCCCTTCCCAAACGCCATAGCCAGTCCAGGAAGATGCCCCAATGAATGGCACTAAAGCTGCTGGGAGGCAAGAAAAAACTAGGAAGGTCACGCTATTCTCTTCTCAGGTGCTCCAAAGGCCAACAACAAATGCAGGTAGTTCTTGACTTACAACAGTTTGTTTAGTGACCGTTCAAAGTTTCAACGGCACTGAAACATGTTTTCCACAGTTTTACAACCGTTGAAGCATCCCCTTTATCGCGTGGTCAGAATGCAGGTGCTTGGCAACTGGGGCCTATTTATGATGCCTGCCGTCTCCTGGGGTCATATGATCCCCTCTCGTGATCTTCTGACAAGCCAGGTAAATGGGGGTGCCATATTCACGTAACAACTGTGTTAATTTAACAACTGCTGGAATTCACTTAACTGTGGCAAAAAGGTCTGTAAAATGAGGAAAAACTCACTTAACAAATTTCTCACTTAGCAACAGAAATTTTGGACTCACTTGTGGTTGCAAGTCAAGGACTGCCTGTATGATTGATTCTATCTTCATGCGATGCCCCAGCCTACTAAAGCAGATCCCGATTCTTTCAGGGCCCTAAATCCCTGATGCTCGTCTTTGGATGAGGTGGGCTGGAAAAGACTTCGAGAACTATTAAATGTCAGTGCAAGTCATTGAGAGCCAAACTGAGGACCTTGTAACTCCCAGCATAGCCATTTAACAGGACTTTTCCATTACCCTGGCTAGCCCGCCTCTATTAAGCCATCACCAAGAAAGGCAACGGGCCCTTAGCCTACTTTGGATGCTGCACACATTCTTCCATACTCTCTTGCCCTTGTCGCTCTAGGAAAAGCCCCCCTCTTCCAGCAAAGAGAGAAACACCCACACTTGCCAGCATGCAGCATGCATCAATCTGGAGCTGGAAATGCATGCTTCAAAACATATGGTCTCCTCCAGCATCTGCCATTTTGGAACAAACAATTCTCATGCCAGCTAGATTGGCCTCCAATCAGCTCAAGCTGGCATCTCCCCATGAAAATCCTGGAGCAAAGTACGCATTATGGGCAGCTTAGTGATGCCCTCCAGATGCCCTTGACGAGTTCAGAGAACATATTTCTGCTAAAAGAGTAAATTTCAAACAGATTGCTAAATTACAATAACACACGACTACTTTAATAACTCTTTTGTCAAAATGTTCCTTAACCCCTTTGGCACAGAAACAAGCGCAGTCTTAACCCAAATTCTAGAATATAAACTGCATTGTTTAGAAACATTTTTTTAAGACCTCAGCGGAGATCCTCTCCTCGTGGTAGTCTAAATGATCATGCAAAATAACTCTGAGGTTGCCTGTCCTTCCCTCTTTGCAGGTTAGCCAATGCACCCTGTAAGTCTCCCTTAACATGAAACTCTGAAGGCAGACCTTGCCCTTGGCTCTGCTTTCAGGAAGAGGACCTACCGTTCCTGGCATGGGCATTGGTGGTATAGAAGCCATTCCTTATAGGGAGACGGCCTGTCAGCAGGGCTGCCCTGGCTGAAAAGAAAAGAGAAACATGAAGACAACAGCCGATCCCCCCCCCCCCAAGCCTGCCTTTCTTTCAAGCACCCAACCGATGACGACAGTTCTGCTCTTTCAGCATCACTACAGGGAACCCTTGACTTACGACCACAGTTGGGACCAGAACTACGGTTGTAAGTTACGCTGGTCATTAAATGAGTTACCATGTGACCATACCCAATTTTACCTTTTTTTGCAGTGGTAGTGAAGCGAATGCCACAGTTGTTAACAAAAAGTTGCAGACCGCAGATCCGCTGCAAATTGCCATAAACTTAGCCAGCTGCCAAGTGCCCAAAATGCAATCATGGGGGGGGGGGGGGGGGAGCTCAGAACTTTGAAACTGGATAGTAAATAGCTTTTGAGGGAGGTCCATCAGAACTTTGAACGCCTGCTAAGCAGCATAAGTTGAGGACTACCTGTGATTACCACTATTGCAATGTGTAGAACTTTATCCTAACTGCTCCCCAACCAGGCTGATCTGTGGGGAGCTTGGATGGACTACTAGACTATCAGAGGAACTGAACTATTTTGGAGAATGGAACATTTTCTCAGGTACTTTCTAGAGCATTTAATCTGTAACACAAAAGACCTGTGGCTGTACAGTAGTTTTGGGTAATGCTACATCTTAGCACACAGCTTTTTACCCACAGGCCCGTGACATTTCCCTCATTCTCCAGTCTACTTACATGGCGAACAGAGAGGGTTGGCAGTGTAGAAGCTTGGGAAAAGCATCCCTTCTGCAGCCATCTGGTCTAAGTTAGGGGTTTCTTTGGAAGGATTTCCAAACACACCTAAGTCACCCCAACCCATCTGAAAAAACACCAACAAGGCAAGAAAAATAAAAGCTTTTAGAGCCAGAATGTTAGCTTTTAACCTTTATATTTTTCCCATTCAGGTATTGGAAAGCATCACTAGAGCACCCAACATGGCAATGCTCACTTAAGAGCGGGGCCGGCTCTTTCCACAAGTGTCATGGAAAAGGGGAGAAAGCTTTCAACTTTGCAGAGTCCCATATTAACTGAGCCTCACCTGGATTACCAACCAAGCATGGATACTGGCTGTTTCCTCTGGGACAATAAGGAAACCAAGCAACCAAACTAAGAATGTGATGGCACCACTACTGACATCCCTCTGGGGGAACATTTATATCCCAAGTCTTTGGGCTCCATTCACAGTCACCAAGGTGCCCAGAACAGATCAAACCAGGATAATATTCCTGCTATTTTTTTTTTCTTATAGGAGAGTGGCTGCTTTTGAGCACAGTTTGGTTTTAAGGTAAAAATGTGAAAAGCTTTAACTTTCTGGTGACCCTCAGAACTACTCAAGGCAAGTAATTCTGCAAGCAAATTATGTACTCTGTGTTGGCATAAGTCATTTTGTGGTTGCTGTGTGAATTTTCCATTCAGCATTACGAAATTAAAGGAAAACCCAGGGAAACGGTGCCAGGCCTGCCTTTTCTATACTGGCACCTGCAGCTCACACTCTTAGCCAGACTTCATCTACAACTTTTTTTTTAATGACACACACACATATGCTGAAAAATAATAAAAAGAGGAAAAAATGAGAGCGTCTTTGTTGTACAGAAAAATAGGCAAAACAACAGGAACTTTCTTCTAAGGAATACACATGTTCATATACACATCAACAATTTCCAGCAACAAAAACTTACTAAATAAAGAGGCCCATTAGGAAATTCTCTGCTAATAGTTCAGTCAGCAGAAAAGTGGACTAATTTCCCAAAAGTGGTTGATGAATCATAATCATAGGAACAGTTCAAGAGCCCAGAGCTGAATTCTAAAGCTCTGTTGCTGCTAGGTCTTTTCCTGAAACGGAGGGGCAGCTGCTATCCCAGTAGATTTCAGCCTGTCTAGGGAAAGTCTGTGACCCACACAGGCCCAGTCCTCCTTCAGACAGTCCAGGTGAGATGCTGAGAGGAGAGGTGAGCCTCAATCGCAGGGGGGCCATTCCGTTAAGGGTAATGATCAAAACTGAACGGAATATTACTGAAATACTATTCAGAATGCAGGAAATGTGCAGTGGGGAAAGTCCCAATTCTCATAATCATTTTTCTATACAGAGTAAGACTTTTTGGCTTCCTGGCCTGCCAAAGCAATGTAAGTGTATAAGTAGTACAGTCACTTTGGAATGAGATGGGTGGCATATGAAATTAATAAACAAAGACTCAATATTTCTTCAAAAATCTGGTAGTATCCATAGAGATTGACTGGTCCATAAGGATTTTCAAGCTAAAGCTAACAAAAACTTAAAACTTATCCCAGGCAGAACGAGACAGGAAACCTCCAGAAACTTGGAATGCAAGAATTTCAAGACTGCACATCAGACAAAAAAGGCAAAAAGGCTCCCAGACACCCAGTGAAATTCAGGTTGGTTTAAGACCCTATAAGCACAATTCCCTGCTGTTTACAGTTTCCAAGAGCCTCATTCAGTGGAAAGTTGTGTGTGTGGTTTTTTTTTCTTCGTCCCCACAAAATGAGCTGCCAATCGGCCCTGGGACTGAAGAAACGCAGGGGTGATTTTCAGGCATTTCCAACTGATTTTCCATTTTCTGAAAAGGGCTGAGAAGTTGGGCTAAGGGTGGAAAGACTCAGTTCCTGGCAGGCGGAGACTTTGAGCTGGCAAATTTTAAGCCCAGGAAGACGAGTCCTGCGAAGGGGCGGGAACTCGGGTCTCTGAAAGTGAACTGGGTGGTTTTGAAAAGGAGACCACCAGGAGATCCCTGGGAAATCGGGTATAACTCTCCTGAGTCATAACAAAACAAGAAGAGCCTTTCCGCCTGGGCGTCTGTCTTCTAGGCCCTGCCCGGCCTCCCCCAAGTCCGGGGCTGCTCAGGGTCCAGCTGGACCGGATGGGGGCTTTCCCTCTGGCCCCTCCAGCCAACTCCGCGCCCCCCAGGCCCCTTCCCCGGAATGAGGCGCCTGTGCTCACGTCGTCCATCAGCAGCAGGACCAGGTTGGGCGCCGCCGGGGTCCCGGAAAGGTTGGCCGCCCCCAGGCGCCACACGAGGGCCAGGCCCCAAAGGGCCAGCATCACCCGCCGCCGCCGCCCGGGCTGCGTCTCCATGGCAACGCTCAGGTTGAGCCGCCCCGCCGCGGGACCGAAAAAGCCTAGCCCAAAGAGGAGTGGAGCGGCCAGGCAGCGGGGTCGCCCGCCCTTCCGGCTCCCCGTCGAAGGTGAGGGCTAAAGCCAACCAGGGGGTGGAGCTCCTTCGGGGCTGCGGGGAAAGGCCCTTCCGTTCGCCACAGCTCCTCCTTGTGGGCATCGAGCCGCTGGCGGGGCTCTGGAGCGCCGTGGAATGAGTGCCTAAACCCTTTGGCCTGCCCCAAGCCCCGCAAGGAGCCTTCGAAGCGAAGCCGGAAGTGTACAGCTGCGAGGAAACGCTTCCTGCTACTTTCCCTGCCGGCGGGATTCAGGGGGGAGGCGGGGACGAGTGGGTCACGCGCCCCAAGCCCGCAGGCGGAGCGCGACGCGGTTGGTGGGTTGCGGACCACGTGGCCAGAAGTGAGGGCAGAGGAAGCCCGCCGCCCGCCCGGAGCCAGGATGGCGGTGTGCATCGCGGTGATCGCCAAGGAGGTGGGCGCGGGAGGGGCGAGAGGTGGGGGGAGGACGAGGGACCCCCCGGCGCTCCTTCCCTCCGGGCGGGGCGGGCGCGGCCGGCGCCCTCTGACCACCTCTCCCCCCGCCAGAACTACCCCCTGTACATCAAGAGCCTCCCCACGGAGAACGAGCTGAAGTTCCACTACACGGTGCACACCTCGCTGGACGTGGTGGACGAGAAGGTCTCGGCGCTGGGGAAGGCGCTGGTGGACCAGCGGGAGCTCTACCTCGGCCTCCTCTACCCCACCGAGGACTACAAGGTGTATCCTTGCCCGGGGGCTGCAGGGGGTGGGGCTGACCCGCCCAGCAGAGAGAGAGAGGGAGGGAGGGAGCCTGGAAGGGACACTTCAAACCGGGCAGCTGTCCGACGGGTGGGCTTCAGCTCCCAGGGTTGATACTGTTGCCTGGGGAATTCTGGGAGTTGAAGTCCAACGATTGTCAGGTTTGAAAAACGGGGCTCTCCCC